TATGTGTGTGTGTGTGTGTATGTATTTGTGTGTGTGTGTGTATGTGTGTGTGCGTGTGTGTGTGTGCGCGCGAGCGCGCGCGCGTGTGTGTGTGTGTGTGTGTGTGTGTGTGTGTGTGTGTGTGTGCGTGTGTGCGTGCGCGCGCGTGATATGTATGTATGTGTGTGAGTGTGTGTAGATGAGTAGATGGAGATATAAGACCTACATCGGCCACACGATATTGATAAGTAAACAGCAAGCGCTTGCCTTTCCTTAGCTCGTTGACAGTTCCATTTCTACATTCATCTGGTGGTAGTTAAGACGAAGAAAGCCGACTTGAAGGAGACTTGGCTAAGAACATAATATTTGCTATAAACTCGTATTAACCATCTCCTTCTTCATTTTTAGAGAAAATTCTCACAAAATCTATGTAATACAGCTGTAAAAAATTGGAAAAGGATTATCTTCGGCTCGTAGTATGATATTTCACTGGAATCAAGGAGGCCATTTGAAAGAATCTCTACCCCCCCTCCTCTACAAAAGATACACGAATAAATAAATATATAAATGAACGATTCCTGGGCATTTGACATATTGTGGTAGGGTGGTAAGTTCTTTTCCACGCCGCCTTTACTTCTCCAACTCAAGTCAGGTACCCATTACGGCTGGGTGGGCAAGAGGGGGAGAAAAAAATCCGTGTCCGAACCAAGACTCGAACCCGGAAGATAAGTAGATAAATAAAATGAAAAAGAAAACAACTCATCCCCCCCTCCCCTGCCCACTCTCATGACTTTCCCACTCCCTTGTACTCTTTATAGATTCAACAAAAATCCCAACAAAACATCTTCCATTAACAAGAACAAATACAATCAACATATAGTTTGGGTTGACTTTATTAGTTTTATTATTTAACATACATGGAAGATGCATAGTTAACAGACAACGATAATATTACACAGAAAACCATTAGCTGTAGGGCCGACTGGCAAGACCACATAATTTATACAAAGCCAAACGGTTTGAAACTAATTCATGTTAATTTTTCTTTCTTAAAAAAAAAAACTTTAGTCGTCACCAGCCTGCAGTATGGAACGGTTGCTTCGTGTAGGCTATGTATACATTTAATAACTTTTATTTTACATCTTTTGTTTGTATTACAAAATCTCCTTCACAAAATGCTGGGGTTGCATACGTTAACTAAATTAATGAGATTTTGTTTTTCTTTGGAGCACTCGTTGTTGTTGGGTGCAATTCGGCATGTATAGGTAAAGAAGTTTGTTTCTTTTTTACAATATAGATCTGGTGAACTAAAGATACATTTTTGAAGCACATTAGTGATACTTCTAATCGTAACATAAATGTGGTCAGTGAATACCCTGTATTGCTGAACGTGTTTTGTTTTCGAAACACCTCATTCTGGTGTTTCCGAAAGGTCATTATAATACACAGTGCATTGAAAAACGAAAAATATTATGCATAAACTTCTTTGTACTAAAGTAAGGGTCTATTTGTAATTCTGACAAATCACAGCTTTCATTACTCTTTTGGAAGGATAATACTGAGAGAAGTTTTCCACCGTAGTTTCCGATGACGTCATAAAAATTGGTTTTCTTCACTTTCGCAAACTAATCTCTAGCACAATAATTTCTCCAGAGGCTGTTAGAACTCTGGCTCGTTGCCATAGTTGCCACTACTCCTCTGTGTGACCTATGACCTCCTCGTGTTCGCCCTCTCCGATTTCTTCCCTCTTCCTTTCCCCCTCCGGTTTTTCTTGCGGTGTTTCACACGCGAGCAGCCACGTCTTTTGAGTCGCCTGACCGTACGCCTGACGCTCTTGGCTGTAGACCGCTGGGCACTGGTCAGTCCCTTCTGCTTGACCTTGAAGTTTTCCAGGGCGAAGATAGTCTTATCCAGGAGGAAGGCGTAGCTGTGAATTATGACGATAATGTAGTGAGTATTGGAGAACCAGGCGTGAAGGGCGCATGTTGACAGAAAACGACGAGGGAAACAAAGAGAGGTCGGGGGGGGGGGGGGGCGGGGTCAGGAAAAAAAAGGGTGGGGGGGGGGGAGGGGGGAGGTGAATGAGGAGTGGGGCAAGACTGCAAAGGACAATCTACTGCAAAAGATTAAGCAAGTGTAGTGATTTCTTGGAAGGTTCTTGTAAGGGGGGAGAATGGAAGATGTAATGTGAGCGCCCCATTTTTCGGGGTCATGGATCTCTCACACACACACATTCTATACGTTGTACATTTTTGCCACAACATGATGACATCAGGCACTCATCAGTTTTTGTGCTTTTTTGGTTATTACCAATGCTTGATTGTCCTTGGAAACTGCAATTTGGCATTTTTGTGACTTTGTCCAACGTGTCTCAGCAAAATCCACATAGAAATGTTTTCTTAATTGGACATAAAAGGTGTTGAGGAAGAAAAACAATCCATGAAAATTGCCCAACGGGAAGAAAAACGTCAGTGTTTTCGATTTCATCATTTTGACGAGCGCCTGATTTCACCACGACACCACATATTATCATTCTTCGACAAGGTGGAGGGGATCTTGTTACTTGTGGTTCATGGCCTGAATAGACTCATATTAATGATAAAATACAACAAAATAGAGGGATGAACAAATGAATGCAAAATTGGATAAAAAAAACTCGTCTATTTTTCGAGAAAAATTCGATATAGATCAACTTGAAAGCAGTCAAGCAATTATGTATCTGTCTGTCTGTCTGTCTGTCTGTCTGTCTGTCTGTCTGTCTGTCTGTCTGTCTGTCTGTCTGTCTGTCTGTCTGTCTGTCTGTCTGTCTGTCTGTCTGTCTATATAATAAAATGTCTGTCTGTCTGTCTATCTTAATATATAATATAATAAAGGAAGATGGGTAAACAGAGAAAGAGAGAGAAATAAAGAGAGAGAGAGAGAGAGAGAGAGAGAGAGAGAGAGAGAGAGAGAGAGAGAGAGAGAGAGAGAGAGAGAGAGAGAGAGAGTAAATGACAGACAGACAGACAGACGGACAGATAGACAGACAGACAGACAGACAGACAGACAGACAGACAGACAGACAGACAGACAGACAGACAGACAGACAGACAGACAGACAGAGATCTCACATCTGGTTGCCATCACTGTCCCGGAAGCGTTTCGGAGCGTCAAGCATCATGAGGTAGGACTTGCCCGGCGACACCCGTGGGCAGAAACAGGACGCCCTCTTCAACAGGATGACTTTGTCTCCCACCTGCAGTTTGTGCGGCCCACCTGGAAACACAAAATGGCGATAAGGATGGTCTATGGCAAAAGGGACTAACAGGGTAAGTATAGTGATTTCTTGGACGTTGTGTTAGACTGTGCAACATGAAATGTTGAATTAAAGCATACATTTACACGCGAAGACCTCCATCACACACTCACCCTATACGTTGTAATTTTCTAAGACAAAGGGCATTTTATTACTTGTGATCCAGGATCTGAATTGACTTACATTAAAAAGCATTAATAAGTAGATGAATGAAAGTGTGAATGCCAAAAGTATACAACTCAAAAAAGTTAAGGACCACTTAAAGTCACATATAGTACATAGTACATAAAACTGAAAAACATGACACTATTCAAAATTGTTTGAGAGGGGTCTTTATTCATCATATCACCTTTTACAAACGACATTTTGCACTTAACGGGTAATTTCAGATGTTGAAGGAGGTAACCCATATTTATAAAATTCACATCACAACAGTTATAAACAATTAGGGCTCAAAATCGCCCGTTTTTCTACTCGTTACACCATTTGCAAGAAAACAGTCGTTGTATCTTTGTCTCATGGACTGAATAAATGTTCGCAATGACAATCGTGAATGGCTTGCCATTCTTGGTCCAAAATGTTAAAGAGTTCATCCACATTGTCAGGGGGTGGCTGATGGTCTCTTACTCGGCGCCCAAGAGCATCCCACAAGTGTTCAATGGGAGTAAAGTCCAGTGATCGGGCTGGCCAGTCAAGCCTGATCACGTGCTGCTGCTGCAGGAAGTCATCCACCACTCGAGCGCCCTGAGGTCTGGCGTTGTCGTCCCGGAGTATCGCACCCTGGCACATTGGCCGAAGAACTGGAGTTGCAATGGGGCGGAGAAATTCGTCCCTGTAGCGATTACCCGTCAGAGTGCCTTGGATGCAATGCAAGGGGGAGGGGGGGAGTCCAGTGGTTGAGTCCAATCCCACCCCACACCATAACGGACCCTCCTCCATACTGGTCCTGCTCCTGTACACAGTCGCCGTGGAAGCGTTCACCAGGACATCTCCAAACACGGATCCTGCCATCGTTGAAGGACAATGTGAACCTGAACTCATCCATGAAGAGCACAGAAGACCACTGTGGGCGTGTCCACCTCAGGATCTGCGGGCAATCCGGTGGGCTTGTGTCAGTGGAACCCGGACTACTGGTCGTCTGAAGCGTAGACCAATCTCACGAAGCTGGTTTCTAATGGTCTGGTCGCTGATTCCAACGTTGCCTGAGTTGCTGTCTGATGTGACGGGCAGTGCAGGTTCGAGTTGTCAGAGCTGTTCTGGTGATCGCCTGGTCCACTCGTCGTGTGGTGCAAAGTGACCGTCCGGACTGCCTTCGCTCAACATCAGTTCCAGTTGCAGTAACCCGGTCTCTCAGTCTGATGATCACTGAGTAACTCACAGCAAGCCATCTTGCCTCTTCACGGACATCAATCCATTCGTGGAGCCAAGCTAGGAATAGGGGTGCGCTCATATGACCTTAGCAGTTGCGAGCGCCGTAAAACCTTATACTATACATACATACATAAGAATAGGGGGCTCTCGTGGCCTAGAGGTTAAGGTGTTGGCCTCTCACTCAAAAGGTCCCGGGTTCGAATCCGGGTAGCGACCGAAAAATTTTCTTCTCTAAATTTGTCTCCATTCACCTCATTTCCTGCTCTCTAGCAATGTTCTGTCGTCTGCTTTCGTCTCCTCTTTCTGCCCCCACCCCCTCACCTCCTTTGCCCCTTCCTCTGGGCTTCTGACTCTTTCTACAGCCTTTCTACTGCTACTCCTTCGCTTTTTCTTACTGCAGTCTTTCAGCTACACCCCTGATCTTCTGGTAGGAAAGATCTACACCTAGTCTTCTCGGACAAGGGCGAAAAATCTCGGAGGTCCCGTGTGCAAGTTGCGCACGTTTAAGATCCCTTGGTGGTCTAAAATCGATAAGAGTAGGCTTCGGTCGCCACCTGGGCAAAATTCAAAATTTCCTGCCAACTGAAAATATTAGGTGTGTCCCGTGCGCTCATATGACCTTATGCAGTTGCGAGTGCCGTAAAACACTTTACAAAAGCAAACAAACAAGCTAGGACTCCTCCCCAGTCGATGCTACTCAGACGTCTTCTTGGAGTCATTGTTAAAAATCGCTTAGTGTGCCCGCAATAAATACCATTAACACCGTCAACCCCACTCAGGCTTTAGTGTAGGAAGCGTGAATTCCCCTGAGTTAGTTTTTAACCCATACCACTCACTGAAAAGCACAGAAAAATTGTCAAAAACAGGTTCAATTTTACAGAAAATGATCCCCCTTTCACCCTGTCTAGGCAGCGTAAATTAAACGACATGTGTCAAATCTGTTCATCATTGTAAACAACGAAGACTCTTTCTTACAAAGGCATCAACTCACTCACCTAACTTCTCAATATTTGTTTGTCATCCAGCCTCAAACATACTAGAGTGAAAACTGTAGTGGTCCCTAACTTGTTTTGAGTAGTATATTTCCATAAAACTTTCATTTATACTTCTCAAGGCCAACCTGATTTGGCCCCACAAGGGATGGAAGTAAATGGTGCTAAAACTTGGGATGTCAAAATTGACAGCGTGCAAATAAGGACAAGCCTTCTGTATTAAGAGTTAAAAAAGAAAGCGCACAGTTTATAAAGTGTATAGCATAACCATAACTTTACAGACGAGGGGTAGCGGGGTGTTAAATCCACACATGCTACTTGACCATTGTCTGCGGCACAGGTACTTGTAAGACTCTTCGCCATTGCACGTAGCAGTAATCAGTCTGATTCCCAAGTAAGAAAGTTTTTACATTAAGCACCTATGACTGTTGTTGTATCTATGTTGTTCCAATGTGAAGAGAAAAACAACTATCAATGACAATCACAAACCACTCACGCTGAACGCTAGTGTCCGAGATCTGTCCCAAGATTCTCTCAAATCCCGCCTTCTCAAGATCACGGTCAAGTGCCTTGATCTCCAGCACTGAAAAGGGGGAGGGAGGGGAAGTGAGAGATGTTGATGATGATGACGATGATGATGATAATGATGATGATGATGATGAAACAATGCTTAATTTGGAAAAAAATCATCACATTTAGGGTTTAAACGTCTTTTTCACCACCTCCTCCATTTTTCATCTCCCTCTGTCCTTCTCTTTTCTCTCTGTCTCTCTCTCTCTCTCTCTCTCTCTCTCTCTT